GTGGTGATGTGAAGCAGTATGTTCAAAGCTTAATGGACTGTGGCACACTGGGTTTTAAAGTCAGATTTGAAATTCATTGTACTCAATGGAATGATTCAGTGCAGTAAGATCTGAAAGGTTTAGGTGAGAAGAATGGTTAAATATACAGACATAAAGGAAAATGTCCCCCTCCTCCTTATAATTCTCTCGTTAGATTTCCCTTTCAACGGAAAACGGCTCTGCCATTAGGTTGGTCAGGTCAGATTGCTCGGTACATTTTTGTCAAGGCAGATCTATAGCCCTTGGCATAAATGTGCTATTGTAATATCAAAAGTGACCTGTCTTTACAAAGGAAATCTAATCCTCCTCTTCTGTCACTCAAAACTTCCCAATTATGCAGATACTTTCAAATCCAATTCAGCAATAATTATCAGGGTTGGTTAAAATCCAGATGTTATGATCCAGTATTTATAAAATAAGCAGCAAGTTAAGGTAGAGAACAGGTAGGAACTGAAGCCCACGCACACCACACATACATGAGACAGAAGCCGTCACTGAGGCAATTCATTTGATGTGCCACCATCGGTTCCAATTTGATGAGGAACACGGGGCCCATTATTTTATTATGCTATATGGAAAGAAAAGGTATTTGGGTATTCCTTTATTCCCTGGGCTGTTTTCATTTCCCTGCAATTAAATTAGCTCAAATAGGAAAAGGGAACAGGGAGGTTCACCCGCTTACCTATTCACCAACTTTGGCAAACAGGTGATAGGAACATAAGATGAGCCCTGTGGAATTGCAGACAGGCCCTGCTTGTCTAGTCCAGCATTCTTTCAAGCCATGGGCAAATGGCCTCCTCAGAGAAGCCCAGGACATGAGAATAGCACTCTCCCACTATTCAGCAACCAGAACAAAGAGGAACACTGTTTTTGATACTGGGTGTAATACAGAGACAGCCATGGAAATCAATAACCACTGTCAGCCTTATCAGTCAGGGACATCTAATCCCTTTCAAAGCCATCACTACTTCTGTTGTTGTTGTTGTAGTTGTGTACCATCAAGTTGTCTCCAACTTACAGTGACCCTATGAATGATTCCTTCCAAAATGTCCTGTCCTTGACAGCCCTGCTGAGCTCTTCTAAATTCAAGGCTGTGGCTTCCTTTATGGAATCAACCCATCTCATATTTGGTCTTCCCTTTCTTCTGCAGTTTACTTTCCCTAGCATGATTGTCTTCTCCAGCGCATCTTGCCATCTCATGAGGTGTCCAAAGTATGACAGCCTCATTTTTTTCGTGGTTGTTTCTAGGGAAAGTTCCAGCTCCATTTGATCTAGGAGTAACTTGTTCATCTTGTCTAGAGTGATGCCAGAGAATTCATAGCTTAACTAAGTACTGCATGAAGAAGTGCTTCTTTTTATCTGTCCCATCATTCTGCCCCATAAGATGACCTGGAGTTCTAATATTATTTCTCTACATTATGCATAATTTTGTACTTTTCCACCATGTGTCACCACACTCTTCTTTCCTTCTAAACTCAACAGTGTAAGCCATCAGACACTGTTACCTTTTCTCATAGGGGAAATCGTCCAGTCTCTTAATAATTTTGATACCTCTCTCCTAGCCAGCACAAATGTGTCTCGGTCTACCAGCTGCTTCTTCTCCAGTACTCTTCTCAATGTCATTCTTCAGAAATAGACTTAAAGATCTCCAAATTAAATCAGTGGAAAGCCTTTTCTACCAGGAAAAGTATTAAATTGAAAAAAGTCCTCACTTTGTCAGTTTCCCCACTATATTATAATTTCCTTGCTTTTCCCACTTTATTTTTTCTTTTTGCCTAAATATTATTACTATTACTGTTGGAAAGTATTTCCTGAACTTTGGGAACTGTTCCATACCCGCCATGTACAGACTGTATGCTTCTGACTTATCACATAGTTACTCATTTATAATTAGATTATATTTTGATCTTTACAATGTAACAGGATTTTTCTCCTCAGCCAGAAAAAACAGATTATGTGTCTTTAGTTGTAAAAAAAATCCACAGGGAGGACAGAAGGAAAGGCTGATCTGCAGAGGCCTCCTGTGCCCTGCCAGACAAATACGTCTACTCATTGTTCATTATGTGACTTCACATAGGAGAGTTCTTTGCATGCACAGTGAGGCCAGCTGTGCTGGAATGCCAGTGGTTTCTACCTGAACCAATGTTCCAGAATTCACTGTGGAATTCAAGATGATCTGCTTTGCTTTTCGCTCTAGCCTGGAACCCCTTGCCCAGGTTTCTATTCTCCTTGCTATCAGGATCTGTCCAGCTGTATCCCTCTAAGCACACAACTGAAGGCAGGATCCAGAAGAAGAAGTAGGTTCCATGTATCTTGCCCTTTTCTGCTGGGCAGTCAGACAGATTAGGTCCAAAGGGAAAGGACAGAGTGATGAATAGCAGTGACAAGAGGGGGTGGGCCCACTCAGTTAGGGAGCTCCAGCCCCACCACCAAACTTTGAAAGCACCACTGACTGCAGGGGCAGAAACCCTTTTAAGTTTCTGAGAAACTGAAAAAGACCCCAAATCCAACTCCTATTTGCCTCTCCTCTTTTCACACTACTTTTCTTGTTTGGTGACTATTCCCAACTTAATCAGAACAACCTGTTACACGGCAATAACTTCAGAAGAGACTTTCGTGCTGCCACTCATCCTCCTCATTGCAGAATTTTAGAAGGGATCCAAGCACGGCTTCTTCTATTTGTAACCTTCTTGATTTTCCCACTCCTCCTTGCATCTTGGTTCTTACCATGGAAAATACATGAAGGATGACAAGACAGGATAGCTGTGCAGTGTCTAGAAGCACTCAACAACTGGCTTCACATGAAAAGAGATCTCCAATGTGACAGCTAATGACAGTTCCTCCAAAGTGTCCAAGGGGCAGGGGAAGAACCAGGGTCAATGATTCTTCACTCCCTTTTTGAACCCCAAATGCATGCGTTTTTAAAAAGATGGAGTTGCACTTACACAGGTCCAAAATGACATGTCATGTCTTGCCTGGCCAATGCCTAGGTGGCCATCTGCTGTTAAATTTGCAGCAGGCAACCCTCATCGGCTGAGAAAGGGCATTTTTTGTTTTGATTTCTCTGAACAACTTTCAAAAGAGCTGCAAGTGATCCTTATTTAGAGAAGTGGGGTGCGAGTCAGTCATCCCGTTTATGGCAAGGTCCTTCAACAAAATAAGGCTCCGCGTACCTTTCTATCTTTTTCCAAGATTCTAAGTGCTCAGGTGGAAAAGTGTGAGGCAGGCCTCTTTCTAATGGGAGCTGCTAGTTTTGACAAAAACGGTTTTGTTTGTTTGTTGGGGAAATAGGGTTCTCTGGTTTTGTTTTGTTTTTTCAAACAAAGATGCATTCCTACTTGCACGAAGGAAAAAATAAAGGGAAAGTGCCACTGTAAAAGCATTTGTGATAACAGTAGGGAAAGGCAGAGAAGTCAGCCTTGCTGCAAGATCCCCTGGGATGCCACCAGAGGACTAAGGGAGGGGTTAGCACAGCACAGTGTGAACAGCGCAGAGTAAACCAAATCATCTGTTGGGCACGCCACAAGTGGCTTATGGACAGTGTGGGTTGTTGTGACATGAGAACACACCACAGTGTTTTGCCAGTACCTTCCTAGGCCTTCCTATGCCCTTATTTTCTGGAATTTTAGACTACAATCCTTTAGTCCTTTGGACAGCAACTCAGGGACAATTCAGAAGATCAGATCTCCTCCACAAAGGAGAGCTCAGGTCAAGGAAAAACCTTGATTCTGACCTTAGGTCCCCACTACCTGACCACACAGAAAGAGCTACTGTCCTCACACCTGTTGCCAAAAATAGGGAAAAGGGGAAGGACCAGGACTGTGGCACAGGCAGAGTGAGGGAGGTGTTGGAGTTGAAGTTCTTCTTTCTAGCAATAAGTATGTGAAAATTTGATGCCAGCACTGGACCTGGGGTAAAGAAGGGGAAAACAGTTAAAAGTAAAGTCTGGAGGAAACACTGCTCCCCTGTCATGCAGAACCATAGCAACGCACTGGCTATTTCAGAGGTTCAGACATCGGAGTCCTCCACATGAGTGTGAAGGACTGCCCTATGCAGAATTCAGCAACTAAGCTGATCTGTAAATGTCCAGTACTGGGGAACAGAACACACCAGCAAAGGACCTAGTGTCTGATACATGTTTTGACTCTTATTTTCTTGGTCATTTTCCATGCCAGAGGACAAGCTGTAGCAGAAGTATCCTTTCATAAGGTAAAGACAAAACAAGCTGCTTATGCTTATGGCACAGTCTTATGCATGTTTGATCAGGAATAAGTCCTACAATTCCCAGAATTTCCCAGCCAAGATAGCTTGTGAATCCTGGGAGATATGTAACTTTTGTCCTGTCTAAACATACCTAGGTTTGCACTCTTAAGGCACAAACCTAAGCAAGTTTATACAGCAAAAGGCCAACTGGCTGGGGCATGTTGGGAGATGTAGGTCTTTTTGCTGTCCAAACTTTTATAGAATAACACACCTGATGTGCATGAGTTTCACTCAGAAGCCTTAAGAGGCTAAAACGTTTGGGTTATCTTAGTTTAGAAGGGGAAGAGATGCTCAAGGGACAGGTGAATAGTTTTTCAAATAGTTCACAGCGCGTAGAGAAAACTGTCCCGTGCAGTCTTCCCCAACTTGGCCGCCTCCAGATTATTAGACCCAAAAGGGGAACGTCCCCAACAAAGCCAAGGTGCCTGAAGTGACTTCTCCCCACCAGCAAGAGGCGCTAGCCTCGCACAGCCACCTTCTCCTGCGACAGATTGCCAGGACATAGAGGCCGCTCTGCTCGCGGAGTCGCCCGCTCGCTGGCTTGGAGGGCGTGACTCCTTCCGCTCTGCCCTTTCGGCGGCAGAGTCCTTGAATAAACCCCGCCCTCTTCCAGCGTGAGTACAGAGCGAGTAGGAACTAAGTGTACTCGGAACTCATGTAAAGGGCCTGGGGGGGAAGTTTCCGGGAGCGGACTCCTTGTTCCCAACCGGGAGAGGGACGCTCTCGGCTGGGGGTCATGCCTGGCGCGGGGCTGCTTTGCTGGTTGGGCTCGCGGCTGCTATGCAGAGGCCTCCGCGCTTCAGTTCACGTGTCCACGGAGGCTAGAGAAGCAGGGCTGAAGAGCGGGTAGGGGGGCGCTTATTCTCGTTCGATCCCTGTGTCTTTACTCCCCCTCCTTGCATGTGGGTTAGGCTTCTTGCCTCCTTGTTCCTGCAACAGCGGCTGGAAAGGCAGAGATTCAGTAATTACCTCTTCTTTGCATGCGAAAGCTTTATCTGTTGTATTCCTGCCTTTATGAAATGATAATATCGTGGAGCAGGTAGTGAGTCGCCCCTCTTTTGAGGGCGAGAATTGGGGTTCATTCAGACTTAAAGTCCGATTGCTATTCTGTTTTCATTTGGAGGATGCTCGTTTGGGAGTGATTCGTGGTTCCTGCTTCCAGCTAGTGTCGAGGGTTTTGAGGGGGTGGCCTTGAACAACGTTGAACAATGTGTATCACTGCTGGCTACACTATCAGCAACGGATGTTGTAGGATTTATCCTTCTCCCCAGTTCTGCCCGTATTGTTTTGCTTTGACTTTAGGATGGGGGCGGGGGGGTTACTGGTGGGGAAGAGTTGTATGTACATTAAGTAAGACAGCTTTCCTCAAATTGGCACTTTCCAAATGTTCTGGATTTAAATTCCCATCAGCGTTTGCTCAAGCTGTGATAGGGATTGTGGTGTAAAGACAGCAATGTTTGCTGTTGTTATGAAGCTAAAAATGGAGAGGAGAACTTTGTAAGTCATCTTGAGTTCCTTGCAAGATGAAGCAAGACAGTTTATAAATGCAATTCTATCATCTTCATAATATCTCCTTTCCTACAGTGTTTCTTGAGGCAGACTCACTCTGGGAAGCTATACCTGAAAAATATGCTAAACTCCATTCCCACTGCTTGCCCTTGAAACACTGGGCAATTGTATTCAAAAATTACTGCTAAGGAAATTGAAATGTTTAGTAATTATGCACCTGGTTTTCAAGGCTTATTTTAACTGAGGCAATAATACCAACTCTTTACTTCACATCTTTTCAACTGATACAATTGTTCTCAGATTCCTTCACTCCCCGTTTTTGTTTTCTGGGAATTTGGTACATATGTTTCTCAGACATGGATGATGATGATAATGATTGATAACTTGAGAGACCTAAGCTAAGAATTGCAGAACTGAAAGTGTGGGATGTTGGAACATGTTTCCTAAACCAATTTTGCCTTCTCTTTGGCAGGGGCCTATGGTGTGTCACAGCTAGGCATATTGCTGACAAAGCCACATGGTGGAATGAGCACCTTACAGAAGAAAATAACCAGTTCTTTAGGAAGCTGATAGCAGAAGAAGACAAAGCTCAGATTGCTAGTAAACTGTATCCATTGAAAGATGAACCTTGGCCTTTGCACGACTGGAAGCCAGGTCTGTAAATTCAAGGATTGGGAGCTAAAGCATTTGGAACAGTTCTTTATCTTTTGTCTGGATTCTTTAAGTAGAGATATGTTTTAAATCACAGGGTTTATTCAACCCATAATGGATGTAACTCTATAGGACATAACAGATCCTGCATTGTGTGTATTCCCCTCCTTGTGTGCACACATGTGTGCAAGTACTCAGTGTGCCAGGCTGCCATTAGCAATGAAAAACCTGTGCATATCTCCCTCATCCCATGTAATGACCTGCTGTGGTGCCTGAATATATGTGCAGCACGGAAGAAGGAAGGAACAAGACTCAGTAAATGTTATTTGCTGTACAGTAGATTGAATGGAGTCTTTTGCTTTTAAAATGCTACCTGTCCTGAAGTCTTGAAATGTGATAGGCTAGAAATTTAACTAAATAAAAGATGGCTGTTGGATACTCCTTTTCTTTTAATTTTTCATGCAGGTTCCAAAAGAGTTGGTGTTGTTGCAGTAAAGTTAGGAATGATGCCACTATGGACCAAGAAGGGTGAAAGATTGGTTGTCACTTTACTTCATGTAAGAAAATTATATTCTGAACTTTAAAAATATAATGCTCTGTTGAAGAGAAGTACAAGCAGTCTGCTTTCTAAATATGATTTGGCATCTTTTAAGCTTTTATATAAATTCTCTATTGATTTATAGCATTTTTATCTCTTTTCACCATATAGCAGCACTGAAAGTGACATAACTGTATAAACACAATAGTCAAATAAATGCAATTTCAAACAAGCAAAATAAAGCAGTATTTTTAGATTATAGACATTCAGTGGCCAGTTTTAAGCCAAGTCAGAAGAGTTTTAAGTCTCTTTGAAGGGCAAAAGAGGTTCAACACACCTAGACTACCCAATGTTATTTTTTTACAGGCAATGAATAGCAATAGGAAGGCTTCAGGCTTGTGGAATCTAATTTTCTAGTTAGATAGTATCATGAATTCTATCAGCCAGAGCCAGTTGTAAAACAGGCTAGGAATGGAATCAGCAACAACATGGTAGCTGATGGAGAAAAGGAAATTACTTCCTTCCCCGTGGCGCCCTACTGTGGGATTCCCTGCAAGTACAAATCTGTTTCTGAGTTACTATGGGTAAAGGATTCTGGCAAAGGAGCTTGCAGAAATGCACAAAGATGTCACAGGCAACCAGTTATAATGAGATTTTACACATGAGAAGCATAAAAGGCCACAACATTCATGATTGGTGTGTTGTTTGGAGTTCCTCCTGGTTCATCTTTGTTACTTGAGGCTCACATGACGAGTGCCTAGAAGTGCTTTATGTCTTCTTCAGCTGGTACACTAGCTATAGCTTAGCCATGGTAACATCACAACTGGACAATTTTAATGCCCTCTGTTTGGAGCTACCATTTGGCCATGTCCTGGAGCCTTGGCTAGTGCAGGATAGTAATAGCAATAGTGAGGCTGCTAACTGGAGCCACCAGTTAAAAGAACTGCACTGGCTGCCAGTAAGCTACTGGCAGCCAAGTTCATGTTTTTGCTAACACATAAGGAACCTGAGACAACCTTGGGAACCACCTCAACACTTATATTCCTGTCTGAACTTTGCAGTCATTGAAAGGGGAACACTTCTGATGGTCCACCTCAGGAACATTTACTGTACAGTTATTTGTATTGCAACACCCATTCCCTGGAACACTTTGCTAATGGTATCAGAGACAGGCCCCCATTGTTCCAATGTTCATTTGGCATCTGAAAACTCATACCTTTACACAGGTCTTACCTGAAGTATAACCTGGCCTGCTGTGGTTTCTAGCACACAATGCAGTATATAGTTTTATTGCTGATGAATTTGCAGTGGGGGTTTTGTTAGATTTCCTGTTGTTTTTATGCTATCATATTTTTTGTCTATTGCTTTGATACTTTTGTGGAAAATAGTATATAAAATTGAATAATAAAAAAGTAATAAATTTATCTGTGCAGGACTATTGAGTATGGTTTATAAAGCCAAGCAAGCAAGCAATGCTGTTTTCTTTCATTGGCTTAAAATGGCTTGTTATTTTGATCTATAACTATATGGATATTAAACACTTTTTAACCATTTTGAGTCATCTCTTGAAGGTTGAAGACTGCCATGTTTTGAAGTACGTACCAAAGGAAGAATTTGATGGGAAAGATCATGGTCTACTTGTTGGAGGAAAAACTGTCTCTCGGATTTATGTAAGTCTGTGTTATGCTTTTAGTGCTAGAATACCAGTTTTAATTAAATGCCTTTCTAGAGTGCATTGATACCGTTTTTACATGAGGTGCTTCACTGTATATCTTAAAGCCTGCTGTTAAAAAAGCTTTACATGAACCTCTGTCTGTAATTGGTTATAACTTCTTGAAAGTGATCTCTTCTCTCCCATTCTTTCCCTTTACTGATATTTATTAAGGAAAATTCATGAAGGGAAGCAGGGAATTTCTGTATCCAATATTCCTCTTTTAATATGGACAAGTTTTCATTCTTTAAACAGATCAATTCCTTTGTGTTGTGTATGAAATTCTGCTGTCATCTGTCCACAAATCCCACCATGCTAGTTTGTGCAAGAAGCTTTACTGCCTTGTAAAAGGAACAACATTCTTTAAACACAGGTTATTGCAACTGCATTCTTATCTGTGTGATGCAAAGAATACATGAGGACCCAAAGTGGGAGAGGAGTGACTCATGCTGGCCCTGCCCCAAATGTACTGGCTCCCACCCACTTTATTCTCCAAACATCCCACTCCCTCAAAGGCATGAGGCAGGGATCTAACTGCATTCCCTTGAACACTACTGGAACCTTGATCAGACCTCTGTGTGAGATTTTGCACCTAGCATGGTTCTTTAGCTTTTCTATACCATCCCATACTTAAAAGTCTCAGGACAGTTTACAGAAATTCTTTGGAATTTACAGCAGTACTCTGGAATATATTTCTAGGACTTAGATATTCAGTTGAACCTTTTTTATTCACTTATAATGGGGCATGAAAATCTGCATTAGCTGTGTCCTTGCAAGGATCTGAAACACACTACCTGACCCTGGTCTGTGCCTTTAACAGGAAAGAGGCAGAGTGTATCAGGGATGGGAAACTGTGGCATAGAGGTAAAGCTGCTAAATTTACATTGAATGCTGCTAAAGTGCTATAGAGAAGTTGCACCTACCTTCACAATACAGGTGAAAATCCATTAAAATGACAACAGTTCTGCCCAGCACACAGTTCTTCAAGTGTTTGTGTTATTAGTGACATTTTGGGGCATTCCTAGTCTGTCCTTGGTCATGAAAATGTATCCACTCTTGGCAAAAAAAACAACGCAAAAAGGTGGAGCACTCTAAACCCACATTTCACCATGTCAGTTCATTGACAGCCAATATGCATGAATATGCAGGGCTTAGACTGTGAATTCCTGAGTTCAAATCAGTGTTCAGCCATGAAATTAAGTGCATGAGTTTGGACCTACAAAAATCATTTTTGTATATATGGATATACAGTCCCATTTAGATATGGGGTAACCTCATGCATACTGCTGAGTTCTTTGCAAAAAGTATAGGCAGGAAATGGACAGTGGATTTAATAAATAATTGGCATTGCCTTGAAATCTTAAGCGCCTGTGCATAAGCAAAGCCTGTGAATCATAATACTGGTCGATTATATAATAAGAGTATATTAATCTGTGCTTCTTTACCAAACAACAGATGTTGAATTGCTTGGAATTTGAGAAATTACTCCATCGGTGAATTAATATACAATGCCTTCTGTTAATTCAAAGTTGGTTCTTTTATCAAGATCAGGGGTGGTCAGTTTAAGGGCCTCCATCTGTTTTGGTCTATGACCTAACCTTAGCCCTAACTGGCACAATTGATGGTGAGAGATCATGGAAGGTGGAAGAAAAAACACAGGTAGTTAACTTCAGTCTTCAAAAGAAGAGTGAGCCATTTTGGCTAACAGAGTGGGATATAGAGCAAATAAATAAATACCATAGAAAAATCACCCACAGTCTTTTTTAGAGGAGGAATGGTGGCAGGGTTTATTTAAATATGTGTTGCTTGAGCCATGTTATGTTCACTTACAAATACTAGCTGTGGAATTAAAGGATTTATGTGTGACCCTGCTAAAGCGGTCCTTGATTCAGTAAAGAGGAGACTATCAGGTTTCCAAGGAAAGCTCCTTTCAAAGAGAGACTGAACACCAGATCTGGGTTTTAAACACTATGCATTTAACATTTATGATATAAAGAATACAGAAGTATAAGAGTACAAGTTCAACAATCATCAGCAGCAATATCAAGAGGCCTCATTCACAGTCTCATTCATGCAACACTCATACTCACAGTCTTATAGACCCTTTTGATGATCCACTGGGACTGTGGGTGACCAGTAGCGGTGCTGTTCTGACACACATGGGAGTGGGAAAGCCCAGCCATTTTATGCCTTTAAGTTGATGCTATCAGCTTAGTCCAACTGGATCGAACAATAAACTCCTCTGAGCAGAGCTGACACACAGAACGTGCTGGTCCTTTTCTTGAACACACACACACTCATCACATTCCATTCTCTCTCTGTATGGTACAGTGTGGGTTTATCTTATATGCTATGTTTCATTCTCCAACCACTCCCGGCCTCTCAGTTTTCTCAGTCTGGTCAGTCCCATCATGCTTTTTCATTCTTCATTTTCTTCTGGGTCTTAGGCCTTCAGGAACCCTTGCACACTGTGACATACATACATTTTACCTAGTCTTGTGCTCCTTAATGTGTGCTTTCTTATTCCCCTGCAACATGTTGTAATAGATCTAAAATCAAAGCTATGCATGGACACTTTTGAAGGACAGACTAACTTAACTTTACATTAGGCGGTACTAGATTGAACTAGTCTGAAACAAAAATGGGCTACAACTGCTCTGCTTTCACAGCTTTGGGAAATCTGAATGCAAGAGATGTTTCTGAAGCTGATATCCTACAGCTAGTTGCTAGTTGCTACAAGAGAGTGTGTTGAATGAGGCTTGTCAGCTCGCCAGATTGCTGTTGGCAACAACCAGAGATAACTCGTATCTTTAATTTAACAAGGGTTGTAGCCGAATCTGTTCAACTGGAAGATAGATCTTTCATATCCATACCATTGCACAGAAAGTGCTCATATACCCTAACTTGAAATATCCTGTAATTCTGATTTTTTAAAGGCTTCTTTAATGTGTGTACTTAACAAAAATGACTACCTCTGCCATCTTCTATAAACACTTGGTTGATATTTTCCTTCATATGTTGAAACATATTTTTAAAATTGGCATAATATTTGGGGGCAGAGCAAAGAAAAAGCAGTTTCTCTCTAGTATCATTTTACTTATTGATCATTGTAACCTTCTTCAAACCACATTATAGCCATGGCTCTGGATTTGCACTGACAGGCAACTTCTCCTTAAGGAATTTCCAGAGAGGAAGTTAGTGAGATGGGCAAAAAGGCAGCGAGGAAGAGAAATGGGGGGTGGCAGAGAAATGGGGGGAGGCCCTGAGGAGGGCTTTAAGGGTGTGGCTCAGAATGGCTGGCAGTTGCCCTGTCCTTTTATGGATGTCCTTTGAACCATTACAGAGGAAATCATTTAACTATTTATTTTTGTGTTTGAATAGCCTTTGTTTCCCTTCTCTTAACATAAACTCAGATTTCTGAGCATGTGAGAGAGGCTCTCACAAAGGCAGTATTTTAGTTCTGGTTTCATGGTGCAGAATAGTAGCTTTTTTCTGGTGTTACACAAAATAATTAGCAATTTGCAGATTTTTGAGTGATGCTCTATCACCTTAAAATTGTCTTGATGGATTCATTTAAAAGTTGAGGCAGACATTTTCATGGGGCAAAGGAAAATTGCAGATAACTTCTACAACACTGACTACCTTACAGATGGTGATTATCCAAGTGTGTCGTTGCTGTCAGTCACATAAATTGCTTTCTAGGGGGATCCATTTAAAGTACAAAATTCAGCTATACGGCCTTGTGCATTTGCAGTTTTCATTCATTTAGCTTCCATTTAGTTAATACGTTGAGAAGGAAACTCAAGGACAGTTCCTTTAATCTACCATAAACATTTCTGTCTGTTTTTGGTTAATGAAGATGCTTTTATTAAAGATTAGTCTCTCAGAATACGATGAGTTGAACTTAAAAGTTGAAAGAATAAGTACTTTCATCTTTTTTAATCTTACTATGCAGCCGTAGATTTGATCCAGATCTTTCTGTTTTAGTGATCTTTTAAACATTATTGTTCATACTATTATTTTTTTGTTTGTTTTCAGTGAGGAGTTGATTGGAAACCCTGCTGTCTCCCCTCTGTCATTGGGGTTCCTCATTCATTGCAGTTTCTATTTGGAGCTTTAGAGGAGTTACTCACAGTGCTGAACACCAGCCCAGTGAAATAGGTCCAGTACCATGGACAGCTCCTATAAAGTACAAAATAAGAACTGCAATGATCAGCCTCTCCTGCCCATGGCATAGGAACATTGTCCATATAATGACAATTATATACTTTTCATATTTGTATTATCCACTAAAAGTGTTAAGGTTTGCAGATTACATATCCACATGTAATTTGCATACATTATACAGGTGGCATTCGATGCTTAGAAGAATAAGCTTGTGCAATGCTCAGCTTCACTCTGTTTCTTCCAGATTTGAGGAGATACAAAGTTCTTGACTCCCTGGGCTTTTTGATGGGGAGGCAGAATAAAAACACTTTTAAAAACTGAATGTAGTAATTTCATGTGAATATCTTTTAATAGGAATTTGTTTGGTGTGATCTACAGCTGATAGAAAAGGAATTCATCTCATGTATTTTCTATATAATTGCCCATTTTCTAAATGGATTATATCCGTGCACAGCAGAAGTTGGTTCTGCTAAAATTATCAGCTTTTTAACTCTTTAAACTGTTCTTTCTCCAAGAGAATCATAATTTTCATTAGGGGTGGGTCTTGCAGATTTATTCAGTGTATTTGCCCACAGTGGGCAGAATCCAACAGGGTGCATCTATTCTGTTGATTCCCTTCCACATGCAGTGGATCCCACCCATTCTGTTGTGCACATGGCCTCCATCACTTTCTGTCTTTCTGTCTTTCTGTCTTTCTGTCTTTCTGTCTTTCTGTCTTTCTTTCTTTCTTTCTTTCTTTCTTTCTTTCTTTCTTTCTTTCTTTCTTATGCCCTGTCAATTTTGGCACTTCCAGGCCAGCCCAAAATGAGTGGGAAAGCTCACTTCTGGAAGAAGGCATGTAGGCAGAGCTTGTGTAAAAAAATCTCTGCAGATCTGGGACCTTCCAGAAATAGCAGTTCCATTTGTTTTGCTGTTCTACCTTCCTTGCATAAGCAAAGTGTTTTTCTCATGCAGCAGAACTGGTAGGACCCATAACGTGTATGAGGGTAGAAAGGAATTGGGTATGGGGTTAAATGGCCCACTGGATTCTGTCTGAGCAGTTTTTACTTACTGTGAATAAGCAGTGTACTGATGCCCACAGCCTGTTCAATACAGGTTGGTGCAACTAACCAGGAAGGGCATCTGGATTTTGGCTTGCTACTGCTAAACAAGCCAGGATTTGTAAGCCAAAAGCACACCCTGTCTTCCTGCTTCCCTATGGTCCTTGCTTGCTTGCTTAGGAGCAACAAACCAGGATCCTGATTTCAGACATTACAAGCAGTTTATCCTTTTCTGATCAGTTTTACCTTTTTCTACAACAAAGGTGAAGTAGGAACAAACAGGTTGCATGCACCAGCACATGGCTCCTTCACAGTAAACTGGGATAAATCAGAACTTCCTGATTTCTTATTATGTGTGAACACTACCACTGGCAAAAATCCCTGTTCTTTTTCAGACAATGACAACTCAGAGAGCGGAAACCTCTATTAAGCGAGCTTCAGGTCTGAAGAGTAGATGTGTCCAAAATGCACAGTAATATGGGCTGTTGTTAAGCACTGTAATTGATTCCTTGTTACATTTGGAATGGAAACTTAACTCATTCTTTGTAATAAGGAAATTAATCCTGGGCACACATAACTTGGGAGTAAAGGCTATGAAAACCAAAGAAACTTTCTTCTAGATAGACATGAATAGGATCATGTTTTAATGTTACAAGCCATGATATATGAATTCTTTGGCAAAGTCTTATACAATTGTCAGTTATGCCTTGGTAGTGTTTAAAGTATTTTTTCAAACTCTAAATTCTTAATATTTTACCATTATATGTATGGTGCTTCTTCCAGAAAAGTGAGGCTGCAATGGAGTTGTACAGAGAAACTGGCATTCCGCCAAAGCAAAAAGTTACTACATTTCAAGTGTCACCTAATGCGCTCATTAAACCAGGTAATTTTGGCAAAATGGAGGTCCTTGAGCATAGTTTTGCTTAATATTTCATCTTCTGAAATCAAATACATTCTGCAGAGGTATAAAATGTGTTGATACATTTTAATATGCTATTAAAAATATCCTATGCATGTAAAAGAATTAAAAATCACTCATTTTCCAAGGGAAGGTAACATTCTTGTTGTTTTCTTGCAGATCAGCAATCTTACTATGTTGAAAATGCTTTTTTTTAGGATGGGGAGAATAATCTAGTGGCTCACCAGACAGCATCTAAAGAACCATAACATCCTCGAATCTAAGGTTGGAGACAGAGCTCTGACTGAGGACCTGGAGTGTCATGCTCAGATGCCCCCTTCACACCTCCTGCAGCCAGGGTAGCAAAGAACACTCTGGCTTCTTTTCCGACATTGGAAAAGAGGCCTCAGAAAACAGATAAAGGGAAGGGGATAAATGTATCCTGGTGGCACTCCAGCTTTCTTCCTACCTTCTCCAAAATGTTGCAGTCACACAACCAAAATCAGCTGTCTAGCTGCTTTGCAGAATGGGAAGTGGGAGAGCATTTCTGTTCTATCTCCTACTCTGCATAGGATGCTCATAATTCTCCAAGTAAGGAGGCTTTTGGGCCTTCCTGCTGTATTGCACCCAAGTATTTTAATAGAAGAAGTAGTAGTACAATGTAATAAATTTATAAAATATTAAGAAGATGACCAAAAAGATTATTGTAAGGCATTTCTTTAGTTATTTTATAAGAGAGTAATAAAATACATCAAAACATTTGAGTGCCATTGACTAACATTAATCCTCTTTGGTTTCTCAAAACTTAAATTCAACAACCAAGTTTTATCTTATAGGAGTCTCCTCTATTGCTTATCTGCTGTGTCCATTTCCTTTTTCATCAAGAAGTGTATTGGATTGCAGATGTGTAATGTATTATGATCATCTTACCCAATCTTTGAAAACAGTATGAGTGGTTTGGCATCTTCCATTTCATGCTGGTGGTAGTGCAGGGAATGTCAGAAAGTCTTCCATAACTCAGTATTGATTCTAAATGCATTATGCTTTCAATGTTGCTTTTTAAAAGGCTCTTGAGAATATAGGAAGGCCATGCTTTCCTTTCCCAATGAGTTGCGGTATCACCAATTAAGGGCATAATCCTGTGACCTTCCAGCATGGTCTAGGAGGCCACAGGATCCTCCAGAGCCCCAGTCCTCAGGTCTGGCAACCTCAGGACTGACCCTCCAAAGGCCAGCCGCCCTCACAATGCTTGCAGAAAGACCCATGCCAGCTGCCTTCCAGGGAAGAAGATACACCTCAAAGAGACGGGAAAGGTGCATGGCAGGGATGGGAGGAGGCTAGGGCCCTCTGTGTACCAGTGCCCCAGCCAACTTTCCTCCCACTCCCTGGCATTCAAGCTAGAAGTCTGAAAGCAGCCATCTAGCAGTCTGAAAGCAGAATACATGGGGTGGGGCGCCACAGCAGTGGAAATTGTCTTCACTGTGCCTTGCTTCTGTCACTGGATGCACTTAAGCCCCTGAATTAGGAGGCTTCTTTGTAGTGAGGGCCATTGGATTGTGCCTTTGGAGTGCAGTCCTGTGCATGGTTAGACAAGAAAACATCCTACAATCCCCGTTATGCCTCATCCAGCCACACTGGTTGAGCAGTGTTGGGGGTAGTAGGGCTCTTTTCTGCGCAAGCATGCATGGGATTGCATCCTTAGAAAATTAGTCTGTTCTTTCATGTCTGTCTGAGAGACTTGTTTAGTGTTGGGTTATTCTTTCTTTCTCTGTGATCAGGAAGGATGATTGGCTACTAAACTTCTTTCAGTAAGAATTTTGTATATTAAAACATCAGTATTCACATGGTTGATCCATGGTTGATCGTGATGTCTGTGAGCCACAGGGAACCTCCCCTCACCCCCTTCCCACATGGCAATGAGAGATTATGCAGCTTTCTTTCACCATGGCTTCTTCTGTTACTTAAACTGGGAATCATGGTTAACATCACCAGGTGTCTGTTTCAAACAAGCTACCTTTCTAACCTATGATCTGAAGATGGATTTGAAATTAAGCATACTGTCGTGAGCCCGTAACTCATGTCTCCAATTAACTCACACCTCCAATTAACTCACACAGCAGTCGGCAATAAAACTAAAGACTTTTATTGCTATTTTGCTTCAAGATTTACGGTGCGACAGATAAGCTATGGTGAGGAGCTCCTTACAGCTCAGTTCCCCCTCCTTTCTGAACTCTATAGGGAAGGTCATGTGGATTTCAATCTTCTCTCACGTCTTTCTGTCTGTGGGTGGGACAAACTTTTCTCCTGCCATCTCAATTGGTCTAATCGCTGCAAGCTCCTCCTGAGCTGCGCGTTCCCTAGATTTTCTGTTACATCTTCCTGCTCCCCAGGACTCCTCCTAGCCACTTCAGAGTCAGGAGGCGGGGAAGCAACTTGTTCAAACACCTCATAGACTAAAGGAAGGGAAGCTGTACCCTGCTCAAGCAACTCAGAGCCAGGATGCGGGGAGGCTACTCGCTCGGGAGCTTCAGAGTCGGGCTGCAGGGGGGCCGTTTGGGCCCTGGGCACCAAGTATAGATCCCCCTGCTCCAGTGCCTGACTCTCACTATGAACTTCTGACCCTCTCTCACGTGCCAATGCCTCTGCCAAGCCGTACTGTGGCACGACACATACTTAGTATTAACCACAATTTCTAATTCCAGACATAATAAATTGCACTTAACTGAGAGCAAAAGCTTCCAAGCCAAAACTGACTTTGTGGGGCGGGAGCATTGTATGCATGTGTGAGGAAAGCACACATTGCTGATCCTCACAGGTTTATCATGAAAAGTGTGTATTTGTCAATTTTCATCATGCCACGGAAAGAACATAATACAGCACCTCTATTTCATGTTATTTTGGAACTAGCCGATTCCAGTTTTCTATAGCCATTAGTTATAATGTGCATATGTAACCACCGGTAACATTTCCATGTAATTTGGCAACAGTTCACTTGATTGTAGTGTCTCCTCCACAGTTGTAAAACTTAGTGAGAGGCATTAGTCATTAGCCATGCACTAACGCACTGGCTTCACTTAATTAAGTTCTCACCTGTTTTAAGGTACTCCCCTGTATGCTGCCCATTTCCGACCTGGACAGTTTGTGGACGTTACTGCAAAATCGTAAGTTTTATCCCACATCTACTTATGTACTAGGATGTTTTAACCATCAAATGATTTGCAGCCATTGGTGCATGCTTTTGATATCTTTCAGGTTAACAACACAAAGTGGTTTACTTAAAAATACTGAAACAAGAAGTATATGTAACAGTGTAGAAATGAAATAGTCAGGGCTTCTCCTTCCAGTAGGCAGGGTGAGGCAGTTGCCTCAGGTGGCAGATGCTAGGAAGCAGGAGCGTGGCATTGTGGGATTGAACAGCCCCATGCTTGCTAAGCTAGCCTGCCTTTGGGTAGAATGGAAGAGGATGTTGCATTGCTAGTGCTGAAGGAAGGTTCTGCTGTATCTGGAGCGAGGTTGGCTACCATGTTGTCCTTCACCTCAGCTCTTAGATGTGTCCTGGAAATAGTAAAGCCACAGGAAGGAAAACTTTCTTTCCTCTGGGCAAGATACCATCCTGTGACAGCAGCAGAAGCTAGAAATAACCTTCATTTCTCTCCCTCTCAGTCCCTTCACATTATGTGGCACAGTGTCTCTCAGATGGTAGATTTCATTTGTATTTCTCTTTGCTCTTGAATAGCATTTATAATGTAGCTACTGTTTTAGGTACTTCTTCTAAAGCATTTCTCAAATTGTTGATGATTCATTAAGGAAATTCTCCTCTCACACATTTTAGCATTTTAGCAGATAAGCTCTGTGGGGCATCCACTGAATAGCAATTTTATACAGTGGTCAAAAGATTAATACAATACCAGATGGCCAAAGAAAGGGTTCAGCAGACAGGAGACACAAGCTGACATCTAAATAAGTGATATGGGCATAGGGAGAGCCCAAGACTGGTTCCAGGTTTTGCTGCAGTGCAGCCTACGGCTCAGTATAAAATCTCCTGTGTGTGTGTGTGTGTGTGTGTGTGTCTCTGTCTCTGTCTCTGTCTCTCTCTCTCTCTCTCTCTCTCTCTCTCTCTCTCTCTCTCGGAACACATGTGTTCAGTTGTGATACCTTCTGTAGTGAAGGCAAAACTCTGGCTGTTTATGTGGCTTTCTCTACATCCCCTTAGCCCAGATTCTTTCCTTGTGTAAGAGCTGCAGTTACTGTATAACTTTTTGTGTATAAAAACCTACCAGTCTCCCTTTTGGCCAATTAGGCACAGGTAAATTCTTGGCAAGAAATAAAAAATTCTCATCCATCCCCTATGTTGTCCTGTTTTGGTTCCTCTTAATTTCTTCATAATGTAAGAGAGCTGAAAGAGCACATGAGCACTGGCTTTGAATGTATGGCATGCAACTTAGATCCTAAGAGAGGCAGACACTAGACTCCATAGTAATAGGCTTCAGCCTATAGTCCATTAAACACTGGGAACCTTCCCTTGCAGTAAACTTGGAACTTGTTAAAATGTGAAGCAGGCATGGAGAGAAAAATATTTCCCAGAGTACTGCCTCTTATATTTATACAATTTGTTGTGTTGAAATTGCTTTTCGATTTTTATCCCTCAAAAAGTACTATTTATGGTTGTGTGGTACTTCCCATCTTTTCTTTTTTAAAAGGGCCATTGAGATGAAATGTTGAAGTGGATGCTTAGTCCTGTGACATCAAGGATTGCATTGGTTGATTAAAGTTGACAGAGCTATTTTCTTTGAAGTTAGATTCTGTCAAATCATGATTTGTGGCTGTAGGTGGCCCTATTCCCACTCCCTGCAAAGTTGCTCTAATGCTAAAGTATTAATAATTTCCCAGTTTCTACTGGCCCAGTTCAGGTGTAACAACAGCCCATGGGTTAATTACCCAAGTTGGTGCTTTTGAACCTGGCCATTAGAAATCGCTCTGTCGACTTTAATTGTTGGGTTTTTAAATTCATGGTTTGTGGTTGGATTATACTTCTGGGTTGATTCTTACTCAAAAGCCTAGCATTTCATCTCAAGAAGCACAGCTTAGGAAGGGGGCACTGTTTTGTAATCTAGAAATCAAGCAGTGAGCAGGTAGGGTGCAGCGCACCTGCTGACTCCTCTGCAGCCCTAACTATTTTATGGGTTGATCATGATGTCCCAACCAGGTTCCTGCTGCTTGCTTGAATCTGGTTGATTCAGATTTCAATTTCCCACAATTCCCTTTAAACAGAATTTCTTGTAATGAAGAGTTCTTGATATTCAAAGGCTGTTAGCTAAATGAGCGTTAGTAGGATGGCAAAATTTATTTAATGTAGCGCTCGCTCTCTGTGTGTGTGTGTGTGTGTGTCTGTCTGTCTCTCTTTCTCTCATTTTTATCTCATCCTATACAAACCAATGGTCTCAGGACAGCTTACAATATTATATAAATAATAAATATTAACAGCCAACAACTATAATAAGCTAAAATGTGGCTGAGGATATTAATATTAATAAACCAGATTAAAACTATTTGAGCTTTAAAATGTTGGGTAAATAAAAAGGTTTTATAAAGTCAGTGCCTGGTGAATGTCTCTGGGGAGCGCATTCCACAGTATGCCCAAGCCCACCCCCTTCCCCACGTTCCTGGGAGATGAGGGAGTGTGAGGACGCCCTGTTAACTTCAGGAAAGGGGTGTGCAAACATCCCTATCTCAGGCATAAGGCAAGGAATTCAAAGCGCCTGCTAGGTTTCTCGCAGCAGTTAAGCCGAACAGATACCTGTGGCTACACTTAATGCTGGAAACTGGGGACTGTTCACACTTAACCCTTCCTTGTCACAGTGGCTTCTGGTTATTTATCCCAATATAGTGAAGAGGTGAAGATGTGGCCAAAATAAAGGCTGGAGATCCCTGTGGAAGTATCTCATTCTTAGTAACAAGACAGTATTTATTTGTTAGAGCATTTCAGAGGAAATAGGTATGAGGAGTCCCTGCCCCAAGGAGATTACAGTGTAAAACAAGTGCAGGAGGCAGCAGAGAAAAGGAGGAATGGAGGCTTGAGTAAACAGAGAAAGGATTTGTGATTACTTCAAATACACATACTTTTGCTTAGTTTATTCTTATTCCTCTGGCTGCTTTGTCACCATTACTATTCAGTTTGCGTGCATGTTTTGCTCTAATTAGCAGAATGTACATCACCTAAAAGGTAGTGCAAATGTGCTATGTAAATGCAATCAACTAAAGTGAGTTCAAGGCTTTGTTGCTGCCCACCTGACTTTTTGTGTATAATATCTTCACAGAGATACCGAAGATCTCTAAACACACCCCTTCTGCACACACAAACACACACATCCTCTTGCTATAATGTTAACTTATAGATCTTCAGCATATTTAATTATCTTCTCTGTTTACCTTTCTTGTGTTCCTGTGTCAGAACACATTGCATTTCCACATCTCCTAATCCTGGCTTTGCTGTTGTTACACCCAGTCTCCCAGTTAGGAACATGTGCATTAAGAACAGCCTCTACTTACAGACGAGCAAATCTGGAAGTCCTGCTGCCTCCTTGAGCAGCGAGCAGACGCCCGCGGGTGGCGAGGACAGAAAGGAAAGAGGGAGGAAAGGAAGAAGAAGAGGGAGGGATTGAGAGAGAGGGAAGGAGGAAGGAAAAAGCAGCAAAGGCAGAAATAGTGTTAGGCTTAATGTTAGCTCAGAAAGTGTTAACTGTTAATATAATTTTTTTACTACTTTTCTATCTTTCTAAACTGTTTCAAGAACTGCAATGTATACCTACACATGTACACACACAGCCTCTCTCCCTGCCTCCCCCCATGCCTGTAGTTAACCCTTTATTATTACTGTGTTGTGTATAAGATAGTGTATATGGAAGTGTTTCTTAAGTGTTTTATATGCTTTTTATAATGCATGATCTGACTTAGATACAAATTTGACTTAAAGATGGACTCAGGAACAGAACTCGTTCTTAACCTGGGGACTGGGTATACTTTAATTAGACTGGCCCTACACTTGGCGTAAGTGTAAACATCAGCAGTTCAGCTAACCAGCTCAATGCTGCCTCATTCCTGAAAGAACCTTTGATTTGAACCCTTTCTCATCTAACAGACAGATCTGCAATACTCTCACCCCAAAGTTGTAACAAACCTTGTTCTAAGTTGATTGAGCCATGTAAGGGAACTTTAATGGTCATTTCTGGGTGAATTACACTCACTGCAAAACATTTTTCACCCTGTATTATCTTTCAACAGAAAAAAAGAGCATTGGAGAGAACAATAAATAAGGAAAGTATTATCTCTAAATTTTTCACTCTAAATCATGAAAAAATGCTATCTTCTGGTAAATCTGGCCTCAAACATGTGTTCTGCTGCCCCTTACATAATAAGTCATGTATAAGTCATTATTTATTTATGACTTATAAATCACTATTGCCACATCCCAAAAAACCCCCATTAAAAACACAAACCCAAAAAAATCAGGATCAGATATAATGAAGCTATTGAAATTTTTGTTGCTGTCACTAGATTAACTCCATAGCTACCTTTTCCAAACAATCTTTTAAATAATTAAGGAATATCCTAATATAGTCCATTAGAAGCTTATAAGCCATTATCTGCTTTGTTTGAAACTATAGTTTCTATAGTTAAATAAGATTTAACACAATGCCAAAAAATGTGCATATAATCTGTTCTACAAGTACCACACCTCCAGCATCATTAGATAAATCAATTGTCATCTTAGTTTTACAGGGTGTTAAATTATTGATGAAAAGTTTTAAAATAATTTTGTTTCAAATTCATTGCACTTAGTGTGTGCAAATTTCAAATTTCAACAATCTGTTGCTAAATCTCTGATAGTAATGTCAATCCCAAATCTTCTCCCACTCTTTCCTTCTAAAGGATAATGGCCATGTTTTCTGCAAGCCATTTATAATAATTTCCTTATATTTTCCTATCTTTTACTAAAGAATCAAAGATTATTATTATTTATTATTATTATAACATTTCTATGCCGCCCCTTGCCGAAACCTCGGGGCGGCTTACAACATGATAAAATACATTGAAATACAATAGTACATAATAAAATTACCATTAAATATAACAATACAAAAAATACATTGATTTACAAATACAAAATTAAAATTATCAGTATAAAATAAAAATATAGGAGGAGAAAGAGAAGAAAGAAGAAGTTGCCCAGGCCAGATCATATGTTTTAACAATTGAAATGATGTTTAAATAAAAAGGTCTTTACCTGGCGCCGAAAAACCAGTAACGACGGTGCCAGGCGGACCTCTTTGGGGAGTGAATTCCATAGGTTGGGCGCCACCGCAGAGAAAGCCCTCCTCCGGGTACTTACTCTCCTAATTTCTTTCATGGAGGGTTCCCGGAGAAGGGACTCTCCCGCAGATCTCAAAGGGCGGTCGGGCATATACGGACGTAAGCGCTCGTTCAGGTAGCCAGGACCCAAGCCGTTTAGGGCTTTGTAGGTCATAATCAACACCTTGAATTGGGCCCGGGCTTCAATGGGAAGCCAGTGAAGCTGATGGAGGACTGGAGTCATGTGAGCATAACGCCCCGTCCCCGTCAGCAACCTGGCAGCTCTATTTTGCACCAATTGAAGTGTTCGGACTGTCTTCAGAGGAAGCCCCACGTAAAGCGCGTTACAGAAGTCTAGGCGGGAAGTCACCAGCGCGTGTGTCACCGTCGCCAGGCAGTCGTATTCCAGGTAGGGGCACAGCTGATTAATCAGCCGAAGCTGAAGGAAGGCGTTCCTCGCTACCGCTGTCACCTGAGCTTCCAAAGAAAGCTCCGGGTCGAGGAGTACACCTAAGCTGCGGACCTTATCCCTAAGAGGGAGTGTTGCACCATTCAGGACCAGGTCAAATCCACCCTCTCCGAAACCCGATCCGCCAACCAACAGGACCTCCGTCTTGTCTGGGTTGAGTTTCAGTTTATTGGCCCTCATCCATTCCCTTACCTCGGCCGAGCACCGGTTCAGCACAGCCACTGCCTCACCTGGATTAGTGGAGAATGAGAGGTAAAGCTGGGTATCATCAGCGTATTGATGATTCCGCAGCCCACACCTCCTGATGACCTCTCCCAGCGGTTTCATATAGATGTTAAATGTTAAGATAACAATTCTCAAAAGAAATTAAGTCCCTAAGAGCACAGTCCTGTGCAAGTGCAGACAGGAAAAAAGCCATACAATCCTCCCTGCCCCATTTCTTTCTAAATAGCGTGGGATTGCATCCTTTTAAAAAATCCTCACCAGAACATTAATTGTATAAAATACCTGAAATAATTCATACCACTTTGATAGTATCATGCATGTATTGGTATTGTGACATAAAACTTCATAATACATTGAAATGTATTTGTTTATTTGTTTAATATATGACCCATACCATCTTCCCAAAAATCTTTAACCCCCTTCCATCCTATTTAGACACCTTATCTAAAATAGTCCTTCCAGGTGCCCATGAGGGTCTATACTTTCCCCATCAGTTTTAGGACACTCTAACACCCATTTTGTATAGTGTCACCATAGTCACATTTACTGACGTTTGTCCAATTCTGATAAGTATTAATATTTATTTATTTATTTATTTATTTAAAACTTTTGTATGCCGTCACCACATGCCTTGGCCTCTCCAGACGGCTCACAGTACCTACAATTAAAATACAATAAAATGATCTTTAGAAATAACAAATTCAAAAGAAGATTGCATAAAGACAAAAAAACGAAAACAAAAAGAGTGACTGTTCAACAATAAAATATTAGTTTTCAAAATATCAATTAAATAAAAAGGGTTTAACCTGGTGCCGAAAAGAATATAAACTCAGCGCCAGGCACACCTCTCCAAGGAGTGCATTTCATAATCTGGGCGCCACCACAGAGATGGCCCTGCTCCGGGTAGATGTTCTTTTTATCTCCTTTATGAGTCATGCTCTTGCTTGTTCACTTTTTCAAGATGAAAACAAATGAGCTGGAACAGATCTTCTTGTTAGAGTATAACATATTGAATTTACTCTTAAAGTATTAACTGTAGAAGTGTTAAATATTTGCAAATGAACAAACTAGTGTTTACAAGTGGTAATGGCAAAGCAATATGCAGTTTGAGATTTGCTGGCATTTTACAAGGCACAGAGAGATGTATTTATGTGATTAGAAGACTTTATCACTTCATAGTACATATCTGCTCAGTATTTAAGTAGATAAATTTGTGGGTAAGCAAGCCTTTTACACCTACAGGCTCATTTAAGTTTTGAAAAAGTGTCCTGGGCAACACCACAGATTGCTGTGCTGTGCAGAGGAGAGGGGAAACAGCCAATCACACAGTGATGGATTCCACCATTGGATTCCCATCCTCTTGATTCTGACTTCTTTTGCCCTCTGATTCTCTTGCTTTCAGTCAAAGAAAGTGGAGTTGTTCAAAGTGGACACTTCCAGTTTTTGTGAAGTGGTAGAAATACTGATTCTGTGCAGGGTCAAATTCTCCCCAGAAAGAAAAGACCTGGTGTATTTTTAGAGTGTCTCTAGATTCAGCCTGCTTTCTGAATACCTGGGCTGAGGCACTTGATATATATTATGCCCTTTCTTGAACAGAGGTTTTTCAGCTCTTCTGGGGTGTATGCCCTGCATAACCTCTTGATTTAATCTACTATTTTGTACTATTCATGGTGTTACCCTTGCAAACAGTTCAGAAATATCAGCAGAGAATACAAGGAGCAGTATTTGTTAAATATGTACTACTGAAAATGAGGAAATAGTCTTTTCTTGACAAGTATTTCTAACTGATCTGTTTTGGCTCTGTTTGTTTTCAGAATTGGCAAAGGTTTCCAGGGTGTTATGAAAAGATGGGGTTTTAAAGGCCAGCCTGCTACCCATGGCCAGACTAAAACACACAGACGACCTGGAGCGATTTCCAATAGCGTATGTATTCTTAACTGTACTATTACTTTTGTCAGCAGGAAAACATTGTTTTAGAAGTTTCTATCCATGAATCTAGACATTTTGATCAGGGCAAAAGCTGCTGAAGAGCACACTCATTTCCACACTGGTCAGGGCTTGCTGGGAATTGTAGGCCTTTTTTTCTGTCTAAACATGCATGGAATTGTACCTTAAATCAAGCAGTCTGTTTGGACACAGGATATTGATACCAGCACCAGCTCCTACTGAATGTAATGGAATTTCCAAATAATTGTGCCCAGGATTATCTCTGGGTACAACTTTCTACCCACGTACCTGGGAGTAAGTTCCATTGAATATTTAATGGATAGGTATAGGATTGCTCTGTATCAATTTGATGATTACGTATGGCATGGGGAGGTAACAAGGTGCCCACCAGTTTTGGACTAGAACTCCCATCTTCCCTGCTTGTTGGTAATAGTGATTGGGGTTAGTGGAAGTTAATGGTCTGGAGGTGCTGTGGCACAATTGGACAGCATACAAATGTTTTAAACAAAACATCTGGAGGATGCCAGGTTTTCTCCGATGAATGACATGTTACAAAAATATCTGCTTTGGTTTCTGGTGAGAATTTTTCCTTTTACTCTTGTAAGAGTTCCATATCAGAACTCTCGATACATGTCTAACTCTCATTTGGTATTTTTGAGACAGAAGGTTGCAAAGGTCTTCAAAGGAAAGAAAATGCCTGGACAGATGGGTAACCGCTTCGTGACAGTTAAAGGACTAAAGGTGAGGATTATTTATGTGGGCTAAAGCCAAGACTATGAAGGAACATCTGTGAACTTGCTCTAACTTCCTAAAGTAACTTCCTCAGTGTACAATTACCCCCATAATATATAATTACCCTCATGCAATAGCAAATAGTACTTTTCCTTTTAAGAAAGGAAAAAGAAGCAAACGGGGGGATGGATTGTTTTGAAGACCTTGCTTCATTCTAACCGTAGCATTGCTGCAAGGGAAGTGGTGGAGCTTTCCCTAAATGTCACTTGCCCACATGGCCACTGAGGGAGCCAGGGGAGAAGGGCATGCAATCCCCCAAAGTGGCAACCCTGCCACTGTTTCAGCACAGGCCAGTCACAGTGCCTCACCACCCGGCATCCAGCCTGCCCAACAAACTGAGGAATAATTTCTAGTGTATGGATCATGGTTGTGTTTTTGTGCAGTTTGTGAAGAGCCATATTTTCTATTAAGCTTGTACTCTGTGAGTTTTAATATATTGCCCTTGGAAATAATTTGCAGTTAACATTCAGCACTTCAGCAACATTATGAAACTGTAGTTAAATGTTTTGATTTCAATTTGGAAATTTCAATCTTTCAGGTGTGGCGGATTAGCACAAAGCATAACATCATATATGTAAATGGTGCTGTCCCAGGACACAGGAATTGTTTAGTAAGGGTAAGTTTGATTCTTAAATGGTTGTATAATGTGTTGACACAATACGCTTAATGAACGTTTTGTTGTACAATATTGATTCTCTTGTTTCCTCACAATTACAAGTGTAGTATCATAGTTAAAAGTGCTGGATTGGGACTCAAGAGCTCACTGAACTTGGGACAGTCACTGACTCACAGCCTAATCTACCTCACAAGATTGTTGTTGTGAGGGCAGAATGGTGAGGAGAACCCTGTAGGCTGCCTTGGGTTCCTTGCCAAGAGGAAGAAAGGTCAAACATAAATGCAATCTGGTGACAAGCAACACAGTATCTTCTACAGTCCTTGTGCTTTGTTTGCACATTGTCTTAAAAGGGAACCCCTTTCTTATATTGTTACCCAACAGTAGCAAACTGTGAATGCCATCTCAGAAATAGCCCACACATATTATCAGCTGTTGATCAAGCTAGAGCTTTACCAAAGAATCTGTTAATAAGCGAAACATCTTTTCATGTATAGGTTGCAATGATTTTTATTTTTAAATTGACTCAATACTAAGGCATGACCAAGAAAAATTAGAAAACGTGTTTTAAAGGAATTCTTCCCGACGAAATCTCACTGGTCAGAATGGGAGTGAGCAACATGAAGGCTACATTGCAGCCCCTGCTGCCCTTCAAGTGTCACTGACACTCTGGCAAATCGTTATTGTGCACAGCAGTAGCAGAGAGACACATTTCCCCTTTGTGAGCTTGCAGCTTGATTTAAAAGTAGAGAAAAGTAATAGCCCTGAGTTCAAGGTAACAGCCCAACAGAGGAGGCAGAGAAGGGAAAGGGAGTGGAGAGAAAAGACAGGGCAGGGCAATCAGTCTGGCAATGCCAAAGGGGAAAAGCTCACATGTTGTTAATGGTCTTCCCTTGCTGCAGTTCCTGTCGGAAAGGAAGTGGTGCCTCAACCCATGGTCCTCTGGCCAGTCATGGGTGAGAATGGCCTTCCTGTTGGCTCTGCAGTTACAGGGTGGGAAGCACCTTTCTTGCTGACAGGGACATGGGGTGCAAGCTACTCACTAAGGGAGACGCTGCTCTCCACTAACTGGGATGGCTCTTCCTGGATGGAAGTGGGTGGGGGCGCTTCAAGGGGCCCTTGACTCCTTACACTGGTGGAGGAAGCCAGAGCGATTCTTGCCAGGCCATTGCAGTAACAGGATAGCTCTTTTAGTGCAGCATTGTTATATGATGAAAGCAAGGAATTTTCCTCAGGTTTTCTTCGCATTCTCTTGATCTAGTAGAGTTAAGGATGCTAGAAGCTGCTCCTTCAGCCTTCTTCCTGCTTTTTTTGTTTTCTCACTTACAAGGCTGTCGCATTCAATTAGGCTGCATACTGTTTCCCTTCCATCTTTCTGTAGAAGGACTCTTGTATGGAAATTGGACCACAGAGTTTGAGGCGTCCTTGACTCAACATTGCTTCAGTCAGCAAAACAAAGAACACAGAACAGGAAAATGCTGAGCCAAGGCATGTTGCACTGCTGGTGAAATCTGACAGTGTGTGGGGCGGGGGAAATGGTACAAAGCCATTGAAAATGCAGCTGTTGTAGACTCCGCTTTCAGTGCCACAGAAGTCAATCTTGACTTACTACAGTGTATATTTCAATGTTATCCTGTGAGGTGTAAAATTACATCTTTCCTGTATTTTAATGCAATGATGGGTAGTACACACGACATGTGAAATGGTGCTTGTGCACCCTAACCCACCCGCTCATCTAGTATGAGCCACTTCCAGTCATCATAAAAGCTCCCATCTCTAGAGTCAGCAACTCCTTCTTAGCAGTGGATGGATCAAGCAAATGGTGCCTGCTTGTAGAAATCAACATACATGGGTCCTAGTTCACATAATTCGACAAGCAAGCAGAGATTATTGTTCCCATAGCTTTCCATCTGCACAGTCTGCAACCAAAATGCAGTGTGTACTGGTTGTGAATAAATCAAGTCATTGGGGTGGTGATGAAGGTTCCTGCCTGTCCTGTGGGGAGGCATCTTTGCCAAGTTGGATTCAGCTCATTTAAACCTGAACTTCCAAGCAGTTCCTTACACTTTTCCCGATTGAGACAGCCTTTTTCACAAAAGTGGGTGCTCCATTCTGACAGTTGTAGGCAGAAATTGCATCCAGTTATCATTCTGTAGTGTCTTCTGTTCTGCATCATGGCAGAGGCATCTCCTTTTCCCAGCCTTGTCCTAAAGCATTTGAAATATTTAGATGGGAAGGACTGCATAACAGTCCTGAAAGCCAGGAAGTGACATCTTTTTTCTTTGCCAGCCTGCTTTCTGATAAAGACTGGGGTTGGGTCCAGGGTCTGTAAGCTGCATTGACTTCCTTCCAAGGAGGGATATCAGAGTAATGCACTGATATCATTAATAATGAAATGGTCAGTACCCAACAAGCATATGGCTTGCTTGGCTGTGAGGATGCACGTATCTTTTGTTGCAGCTTTTAAGCTTGATATAACTAATCAATATTTACACTGAGGTGAAATGCCATATTATCCTAGCACATTCCTCTTCAGTGAAAGTCCGACATGCTATAATCTTCTAAGTCCTTGTCCTGTTGAATGTTGATCTATCAATGGGCACTTTTCAACAAAATACCATAAAATAAAAATGAGAAATGAGCAAGAGTTGGCCAGTATTGAATCAAGACTCTTTTGATTGAAATCTTGGTTCTTATTCACATTATGCTCCATCTCCTTTAAGTCAGTTTTTTTCAGTATCGGCATCTCCATAAACCCCACTGCCAACTCTGAACATCTTGCCTTTGGAAAGAATGCTACATGTTTTGTAGTGTACGTGCATGCACCAGGCAATGGGTCTATCAGATTCTATCATATTTATACTATTATCCATATGTAATAAGTAATAAGCACACCACTGTGTGACCGTTTGAGTATCTCATCCAGTTCGAATGTTTCTAATCCAGATATTCCAAAGTCCTTCAGAGTATGCACCTAAAGTTCTTGCTAGTCACAGAACACCATTTGAAAACCTTTCCTAGCCAAGCACATCCCCAGCCCATCCCCAGTGTGCGTGTCCCCAGCTAGTTCACACCTGCTTCCTTGATTCTATTTATACTACCACTTTGGCAGCCTCATAAGGAATCATTTCCCCTCTCTGCTTCTTCCAGAAAGAAAATCAGATCATGCTGAAGTTTATATTCATCTTTTTGTACTTTTTTCTGCCTTCTCACATTGCTGTTTCTAGCTTTACTTTTTTCATCAGACAATAGTCTGAAGTTTGAACCACTGATCCAAATATTTCCTCATTGCTCAAAATAGCCAAGGAAGTTTGCCTAAAACTCACAGTCCAACATGCTGCATTGAGGAAGGTTTTCTGTGACTCCTTGTTTATAATTTATTAGCTCTGGGATAGGCAAACTTCGGGCTAGAGGACTTTATTATGGTGTTTACAGGAGCCCTGGGATCAATCAGCAAGAGCCAAATGCAAAAGATAAACTCCTAAGTTGTCTCGGAGTCTAATTTGTTTCATTGAACCGAGTTCATAGTCCCTTTCTGAGAAGAAGCCACTTCCAACATTCTTCATTTCAGAGGCCCAATTTAGGTGAAAAAAGCCAGTAGTGGATCAGAAATCTTGGCCATTTTACTGCAGATCGGTCAGGAGATCTACTAGGAAATCCCTGGTAGCTACTCCCTTCTGTATAATCTAGTGCTTTTAGCTGAGAATATGTTTTCGATGGCATGTGTTTAGAGACACACACACACGGATTCATTCACCTTATCCAGTTGGACATAGTGGCTAGAGTGTTGGCCTGGAACTCAGGAAATGCAGAGTGGACAGCATCCGGGGATTGGTAGGGGCAAAAGGTGACAGTGCAGCAGTTAGAAGGGGGGAATATTGTCCCTTTTTTGACTGCCAAACAAATGAAACATTTGTTTTCATTAATTCGTTCATTCATGTAATTGTAGGCCGCCTATAACTGCTGAGGCCTTCCTAGGCGGCTTATTGTTTTTCATTGTTGATTTCTGTGGCATATTCAGCAGTGGAACTGTCAGACAAAAGGCCAGAGTGGCATCATGTGCATTGCTCACCCAGATAGCAATTAAACTCTAGATGGAAGTAAACTATTAGGTTTGTACGGCCAATGAAGTGTATCATTTTCACCCTTTCTATTCAACTAGGAATTCAATTAAAATACAATGAACCACATTAAAATATCATTTCCCTGTGTTATTCTGCTGCAAGAGAAACAACAAAGAGGCTTGTGGTACTTTAAAGACTAATACATATAGTGTAGCTTCATCTGGTGAAAATCCAGAAGGGCCATAATAAATGTGTTGATCTTTAAGGTGCACACGTTTCTTTATTGTGTTTATTAAAGTGTCAGTAATGCAGAAGCAGAGTAGCCAAATCTTCCCTGGAACCTTGCTGTAATAAAAATGTATTTATGGCCTTTCTGAAAGTGATAAAGGAGGTAATTGAGTCGGTATGCAATAAGACACTCCATACTTGTGGTACCAGCACAGGGGAAGTCCTGTCAATGCTGTTAGGAGTTCTCATCAGATAAAGAAGGGTTGGCTGAGCATAGGCATCCTGTAAAGCATGCCGTTAGGAGATTTAAAGGAATTTGTTTTTACCCCCCCCCCAATAAAGCAATTAAGTTGGACTCCTAACTTTATGTCTGTCTTAGGTAGTATTTATTTTGCCTTTATGTTTGAACCACAGAACTAAGGAGTCTGGATCTTTGGTAAGGGTGTGTTCTCTAGGCCAGGACTTACTTGTTAAAGTACTTTGTTCAAGTACCTTTTAAACAGTGTAATTTGCCAGGAAAGCATACCAAGTTGCTGCTGTCTTCGGTGCATGAAAAACACAGCTTAGTACATTTGTGCCCTCTTCATTGGTTGCTTGGCAACGATTAAGCCACTGTGCACCTTGGCAGATGTACATTTATAGAAAACATCTTCCCCCAAGTCTTGAAATAAGCTAAATGAATGGTGTAAGGTCATTCTCCAGCCCTTAAATTGCGAAGCCTCTTCTGACTGAACACTGATGCATTTCTGGTTTCATTAGAACATGGTTTTGTGTTTAGCAGCACAGCATGCCCTTTTATTGTCTTCTATAAAGCCCCTCAGCAGGTCCTTTCCCTTAAGAGTTTTAATTTTTTAAATTGCAAAGCATCTAAAATATTAATTCATAGAACATGTGAGCTCATGCAACCAGAGTAGAGCAGCAAGCCATGGATCTAGGAAGGGCCAGAAAAAAACAACTGTGAGCAATTCCGCCTAAAAATAAATCATGGGCATTTGCAAATGTTGAGACACTTTTAATAATTTAGTTTGTAACATGCTTCTGATTCCAGGCTCTAATCCAGGAGCTAGACTGAGCAGAATAAAAATATTAAGCATAACGATGTGTCATCTTGTGGCTGCCCTGTAATTTGTTTAATTTTCATCAGCACAGAAGGCTGAAATCTCTCATTTATCTGTGCTTTCATATGAATTTCACCTGAGTCCATCATATAGGCAGTATGCTTCATAAATGCTTCACTTACCACAGAGTGTGATGCCTCTGGCTATTGGAACCTAGCTTGACAGGAAACCTTGGTGCAGATGATGTCGGCTCCCCTCAGAATGTAACTGGGGCATACTCTTCATGCTTATGTTCAAATCTCTAAGGCAAACTGTAGTTAAACCATCAATTGCAGCTCAGTAAGTTGTTCCTAAATTAACGCAAGCAAGCAGGAATGGGAAATAGGCTGCCCAGAAGGTACACAAGTGAGCTAGGAGAGGTTTCTCACCCTAACAGTCTTCCCCAGTCTGACACCCTCTGGGTGTGTTGTATTGCAACTCCTGTCATCCCCAGCAAGGCTGTCCAAAGGCCATGCAGCCTTGGGCAATGGGATTTGTAATCCAACACAACTGGAGGATACCAGGTTGGTGAAGGCCTCTGCAGCAGGCTACCAGCCATTGTCAGAGGAGCAGTCAAGAGCAAAGTAATCTTGCAGAAACAAATTCAAACAAAGTTGTTTATCCGATGACTTCACAGATATCGATAATAAAGTATGCTTCATTTTAAATTGCATTTGTTGCCCTAATTAGAAATAGTTTGTAAAACAAAGGAGAGCAAATAATGTGGATGCCTGCTTCTTTAGTTTTAGTGGTAGTTTTGTATTCTTTACAATGTTCTTCCCTTTTTAAATTAACACTTCTTACATTTGTTGTGTCCCAGGTCCGTGATTCATCCTTACCAGCCTACCGAGGTAACCATAAGGACTTGCCATTCCCAACATTTTTTGCTGATGGGGAAGAAGAGCTGCCTGATGAGCTGTACGATGAGGAAATTTTTGAGTTCACTGAGCCCTCCATTTCATTCTCTTAGCTCCTGTCATCCTGAAGAACACGAACCCGCCACTTTCTCTTCATGAATATCGCTCTGGAGGCCCAGTGCAAGAAGTCCTCCACTGGCCCTCTGACATTGTCAACCTGCCCAACAGAACCTGGTTGTACTTGTCAAAGCAATTTGCTTATAACAGTTTCTAAAATGCAATTGAATATACAGCAAACTGAAAAGTGTCTAAAGGACGACGGGCAAAGAAATGTTGACACTGTTGACTGACTGCTTTAAAAATTCAGTGTTCTAAATTCCAAAACCTTCCAAACAGATCATATTAGTATGTCTGCAGTACTGGAACTGTTTGCTTCAATTATACTATGAAAAAAAAAAATATCGATCCCCTTCCTTAAAAAAAACAGTAACAATTCATATTTACTTAATAAAATATGTTTAATTAACTTTGTAGTATTGTGTTCTTAAAATGTACATTGCTTTGCAAGGAACATTACTTGGCACTGTTCAGTGTCATAGCAAAACTGCCTCTTCACAAGAGTTACTGTCAGGAATTTGACCACCCATATTCACCTTCCCCAACTCATCAGAAAAATCCTAGGCGTTAAGTTTACTTTTGGGTTTAAACTACAGCTCACAAGAAATAATTAGATTGTTTTAAATGTGGAGACCTGACCTAATTTCAAGGAGAAATATTTTTAGGAAATGCCCCCTCTCCCCAAACACATACACCCTTTTGATTCACTGATGCATTGGAAATGACATTTCAATGGACCTACTTTTAATTCAACAGCCATACAATTGTATCGTTCATCTCTTGTTCCCTCCTTTCCCTGCCCCTCCACACCAATAGTGTGGTAAAGATGCCTTTTTAATCTTTGGGTGGGGTCACAGGTACTCAGTATGGGTTATCCACAGAACCACCCATGGTACACCCAACAGCTCACAGGGGCTTTCTGCCAGCTTTTGTCACCAGCTTTCCCCCTTAGTCCTCTATTTAGTTCTAGCACATACCTTGTGGAACTTGGCAGCACAGCCTGGCTTGTTTCCTTATCCCATGGCCCTAACCATTCCAATCATTACCCCCTTTTGTTCCTTTTTTTTATTATTATTCAGAGCATCAAAAATTCACAAAAATAAACCACCCAGCAAAAAAAAAAAAAGTCTGGATTCACACAACATGGCCACTGTAGCTATCTTCTCCCTTCATGTGCACAGGTCTTTTGGTTTACTTCCTTTTTTAAACTTTCAAATAGCTTTCCTTTAATCTTTTGTGTGAGATTTACTTTTTTAAAAACTAACAGCCACATTGAGGTTTTACAAACTTCCTGCTTTTCCCCCATCAACTCAGCAGGAGTTGGGCCAAAACACCTATGCATTTGAGGATTCTGGAGTATTTTCTGACACAAAATGGGGTTAAGGGCTCAAGTTTAGAAGGTTTGAAAGGGAGATTAGGCATACAGTGGTACCTCAGCTCACATACACCTCAGTTCACGATCAAATCGGATTGGGAACAGAAATTTCATAAAAAAATTGCTGCAGGTCATGAACTCTGCATCGAGTGTCGATCACTAGCCCCAATCACATAGTGCTGGGAGGGGGGGCAAGATACCACTGTATTTGTGATGTTAATACCTATCAATGGTTGTTATGTCTACCTTAAATCCCGCTAGCTTCAATCAGTCTTTTCTTAAGTACTCTGTAAGTTCCTGAATAAATTCCTGAAGCAACTGTTCGGGACACAATCCAGCCACTCAGACTTGTAAGCCCATTGCCAGAGGCTTACTAGGAGGAGCAAAATGCAGCAGCCCCCACTGCCTATTAAGACAGCCAGTTCCGGCTGGCTAGATAAAGCACTGAGGAAGGGCAAAGTGGGGGACCTGCAGAGAGAAGAATTGGGGTAAGTTTGTGGTCCTTGCTTCTTTCCTTTACCTGCCTGCCAGCCCACCACTTTTCTTCACTTCTGACCTGGCCCCGGGGGGGGGGGGGGTGATCTGGTTCTTTCTGTGGCAGTTGTGTGGGGAGGGTGGGAAAGGCCTTGGCCCACAGAGTACCACCACAGTCTGGGATCTGCAACTGTGAAGAATCCTCTGTCCTCCCAGAAGCTTCCAGGAGTCTTAAGTGGACCTTTCCTTTTCCATGTTCCCCTAGCAAGAAGAATGGGGGAAAGTGTTACTTTTTGAAGAAGTTTTCAAGTTCCTCTGTTCACAGATCCCTCCAGAAGACTCTGCTACTGCTTCAGGCATCTAAAAGAGAGAAGTTGTTTATGAGAGAATTGTTTTCTCTCTTGCTGCTCATCCCTTGCTATGAAATCTGTCACATTAATAAATGTCCAAACTGTCTGCTTTGATATGGACGAATATCATGCCTTTTCAATGAAATGTAATGCCAGTTATCAATTCTTATCAAGGCTAATGTTTTAAATATGAGTGCCTAACTAATAATTTCACATGAGGTGCTCCATCATATTGGAAATAATTGCTTATTTATAAGCATAATTAGATTTTAATTAAAAAGAACAATTGCATTTTAAACCCCACCTATTAAATGTAAATGATGTTTTGAAACCATGTACCTTATCTATTAATCTAGAAGTAAGGGAGGGGGCACTCATATCATTTAATTTCATGGTTCTGTTAGTGCTAATTTACAAGACATTTTGTAGCCATGTCCTGTAATTGCAAGACCCCCCCCCCCCAACCCCATGTTTATCTTCAAGTTTACTGTGAGTGATGCATCAACTTTCAAATCTTTCCTCTTGGGAGGTATCATTAATAGACATAGCCATATGGGTGATTTATTGGGTTTTTTTTTTTAAACCTGCAATTAAATAAGATGGAAAGGATTGGTGGTTTGGACATTGCACTTGTCTTTTTTTTAGTGCAGGTACCAAATAAGTCTTTCTTCAGAGTCAAGATGTATGTGTTTCTTTGCTTTCTGGTGAGTGTGAAAACCTCCCTATCCTGGTCTTTCCTCTAGGCTGTCTCCATTGCTTCATTTTGGCAAGTAAAAATAAAAGTAATTGTTTGAATACAGTTTTGCAAAAGCTATAATAGAAACGTACTTCCAGATGAGACGTCACTTACACTCAGACTTGTGGAGAGGGGCTCCAGCCAGCATTTTGCACTCCTAGGCCTCTCATATCTTCCCAGCATCTTTTTCTCACTGCAGAAAATCCATCAAGGAGACTAACTTAGAGTAGCTGCACAATCCCTTCTAATCAGCAGCACTAGGATCCCTCTATCTGGAAACACACTCAAAGGTAGCAATTTGATTCAAATAGAACATGGGCCCTGGCTTCCCCAGAGTGTCCCAGCCTGAGATCACATGTTGTCAGGAAGCAAGCTGGGCCTAGGTTTTTGGCAGATGTAGCCCCCTAACCATCTGTTCTATGTAATCCATGTGACCAGAAGGAACACCTCAGTTCCATTCCATGTCTTTGCTCTGATCTAGCCTTTAGATCTGCAGGATGTTTCTAAGCACCCTCCCTATACTGTTGTTGGGTTGTGGTTGACTATCTCCCATCCCTGCCAATCTCCATGGGCTCACATCTATACTTCCTCAGCAGATCTTAGAACCTGTATACACTGCAGGCAGGCAGAACTTTAAAAGCTGATAATGGCTTAATTTTTAAAAGTCTGTAAGGTAAGTCTAAAGCATCCTCTTTGATTCCTTGACAATAACTGGCAGCCACATCTTCAGGTTTGAATTATATGTGATCTGGGTTCTAGACCCAGATGACTGGGCCCATCACAGATACTCAGCCCAACCTACCTCACAGGGTTGTTGCTGTGGGGCTCAGACTGAAAGCAGAATTATGTAAGCCACATACGGAAATGAATTTATGAAAATTATGCATTATGTAATTTATTTGTAAGAAAAAAGGCTGGATATAAAACTAATAAATATATGTGCTACCACAGCAGAGGAAAGTGTCACCTGACTGGTGCTTGCAATCCTGGTTCTTTTCCAGCTCATATAATTTTGGAGTGGGCATTTTTAAGTTTAGGAACTGGAGGCTATGTGGATACCTATATCAGAATTTATTGTGCCACCTTATTTGCTAAGAAACCATCAAGGTGGAGCACAACCATTAGGTCTTAGCAGAAGAAAAAAACAATAAGGAGCAAGTCAGATGTTAAAACAGCAACACAATAAGCCTGAATTACAGTGAGGGGTTTTCACCCCCTTTCCAAAAGCTAAACAAGTGGGAGCAATTGCAGTTCTTGGGGGAGCTCCGCCTGGGAGCAAGGCATGTACTTTTACACATGCTTAAGAGGCAAGCGTAGGTGAGTAACGCTGCCCTCCCGAGGAGTCCCCTGCAGATCCTAATATCCAGGTAGGCTCATGACAAGGTGGCTAACTCACCTAGACTTAATCCACGTGGGGCTTTCACGTTGCAAGGAGGCAGGATTGCAACCGGCAACCAGCGCAGGCCTCTGAAGAAAGGTGCCCGTTCCGTTGAAAGCGAGGCAAGCGCCTAACCTAGTGCGGCCTTCTCTCTTGCGTAGAGCTGCTCAAACGGCCGAGCAATCACCGAAGACCACCAAGCGGCTTCTTATCTTTGCAAGAGGTTTTATTCCACCTTTCTGTGTCTGCTTCTGTATTGCTTTGCCATCGCGCCTGCTCCTCTCAGCAGCTGTCTGCCGAAATGGCCAGGGATTACATGGCGGCGGAGCATTCAGAGGGAACAAAATGGCGGCCGCCCCAGGCAGTAGCTCAACACTTATTCTTAAAGGGGGAGTTGTGGTGGGGATGAAAGACAAGTGAAGAACTCAGCCAGGAAGCCGAGTGCCGAAACAAATGCAAGTGAACGGCAGCAAAAATATAAGGAAAGCACGAAGTGACCGAGGACGTCTGAAAAGAGACCAGCGGGGACTTGCAGGAATCTGTCTTTGGTTTGGGAGCACACAAGGGCTTTTTAATACTTGAGTGAAGACACACACATGCCCGGAGAAAATGGACGGTCACTCATAAATCACTGAAAAAAAGGAAAGCATCGGGAAAAGATAATCGAATAGTGCAATCATTTTGTACCTTCAGATGCAAATCTGGAAATCTTCTAATTTAAACAATTGCAGTACATCTCTTATTGAGGAAGACTGACCAGGAGACCTGGGGTTTGCCATCCTGGTATTATTGGTGGGCAATTTCATGGTCCAGCTGTTCTCGCTGATCATTCTTGATCTTTAAACTGGGCTTAGATTTATGCTTAGACTCAAACTGCCCTCTGGAATGGGGGACTGCCCTCTGCAATAGAGGACACATGGCCAACCGAAGGGTGAAGGATTATACTACACACACCACACTCTCACACACTCAGAGAGAGAGAGAGAGAGAGAGAGAGAGAGAGTCATTGTATGGGCAGCCAGAACCTCAGAAAAGTGATATCACAACAAATAGATTTAGCTGCTTCAGGGCTTCCAAATGAAAAAGGGAAACCCAG